GGCGTCTCCCTCAGCCCTGGCCGGTCCCCGCGTGAGGAGACGGCCCCAGGGAGCGCCGCTCCCCTTCCCTGCCGGCACCGTCAGCGCTTGGCGAGGGCCCTAACGGTGCGGGGCTCCGAGCCGGGCTTTTAGCGGCGGGAAGCGCCGTTAAAACAGTCAGGCGGAGACACCTTCCTGTAGACCAGGCTCTGGGATCCCTGGAAATAGATAGCACCAGGAGCTAATCTGTCTAGTCCGACTTCGTTGTCATTATTGCTGTGTATTCTTCTAGTCTGAACTCTGACATTCATTGCTTATGAATTCCCTGCTAATTTCTGTAGAATACTTTCATCAAGATAAAGACTCGTTATTAAATGATTCCTTCGTAGTGTTTTTTTTTTTTTTTTTTCCTAGCAGTGACTTTTGTTATCCTGTTTTCTTGTAGGTGGATTGGAATTCTTGTTCTTTACACAGTCCACAAAGGGCAGTTTGACTGTGCCGGAGGAGGCTTATTGCACAGCTACTTGCTTGTCCTCCTGGTTCTCCTGGCTGCCATAATATGTGCATTGTCTGCTATTGTATGCATCAGTATGCGAGGTACATGCTTAAAGCATACCTAGTATTCTGCATTTATATAGGAGAATTATAATGTATAGGATTTTTTAAAATCTACAGTTGATATTTAAAAAGCAAAAACATGCAGAAAGTTCAAGTGCTTTAGCAGTAGTCAAGCCTAAGACACTATTTGTCATCATTAATTTGTTTTAATAGTATTAACTCTGATTAATGTTATTGCTGCCTGCACATGAGTACATGCAGATATAATAAGCAGAGCTAATAGTTTAATATGGCTGACAAAGATGTAGTTATTGCCATCAGAGCATCTTGAAAATTTCTTCCTCTACACCCACTATTTAATTATGACCTGGGTTGGAACACTGTATGTAGTGTTTCTGACAGGCTTTTAGGGGAATTTATCCATCTTTCCTATGAAATTTCTTGCAAACTTCGCCTTGCGTAGGCAGATGTAGCCCTATCATATAACATCTGGTCATTTGTAAATTACTTCATTTTGAGATAACAAAATGCCTTCTCTATCATTTCTTTATTGATGTATTTCTTTCCTGATGAGGGGTCTCTTCATCTGCTAGAATTATTAAGTGTACTGCTCAGAATATTAATCTACAATATTTATGTGGTTTGGGAAATTGTACATTTCTACTATCCTCACAATTTCTAATACGTTGATTCTCATCACACACTGTAAATAGGAAATTATTTAAAATAATTAAATGGAAAGAAGGATAAAGAATGCATGAAGAGAAGTTATGACAGAGCAGAGATGTGAAAGACAATCCTAGGCTTGAATCAAATGAATGATTTTCCTACAGTTTCCAGAAGAACAAAAGAAAGAGCGGACAAGTTAGGCAGTTTTCTAATATCAGATATGTCGTGGTGAGAGATATAACTGTAAATAACAAGGAGGAAGGAGCTTTGCTCGGTGTAGAAGTAATTTTAGAGTTATATAACTAAGAAATGAAAGAATTTTGAGACTCAAGTTTCCAAGAAAACCATCAATGAGGTGTTTTGGACTATGATTATAATGTGTTGTGTTTTTGCTAGCAGTGGTTCTTGCAGCACCCCTTGCACTGTCCTGACACGAGCGTTACGGTGCCAAGGGACAGCTTGGATGGAGAACTGGGTTGTAGTGCAGGGAGAGGGAAGTTTTGGGTGGGTTAATTGGTTGGTTTTCATAGGAACCACAGTTCATCCCAGCTGCTGGCACAAGCAGCTGGGCTGCTGCTGCTTGGGAATGGGAATGGCAGCTACTGGCTCGGGGGCCTCTTAAAGAGCGTTGCCACTGGGTGTGCACCACACCTTGACATGTGCAGAGTGATTCCCAGAGTTAATGGTTTTGTGCCGCTGCATTTCGAACCTTTGCAAGTTATGCTGCCTACACATGCTGCGCATACACACCCCACTGCCTTTGTTATTGTGTGATCAACAGACTGGTTTAAGAAGCTAAGCTGGCCATAAAAACACACCCTTTTTATTGCCTAAGAGTACTAAGAAAATGGTTGTCAGTGAGTTAACAGCACAGAAAGTTTTGTTTCTGGAAATAGTCCTGCATGCTTTTTCTCCTGAATAGAAAGTGAAAGTACCCTAAGTCATGTGAATGAATTAATTTATTATTTAGTGCCTCAAGTGAGTGAATAGAACTTTAGTACTTGTAGGGCTGCAAAGCAGCATCTCTAAAATTACAGCTGACCAAAGTTTTAATTGCTTCACAATATCTTTTGCATTGGTATGTATTTTGCACTGCTCTTATATTGGGTGACTAGTTTTGTCCGTAATTCTTGGTAGCTAACTATTAACTCCTATAAAGCATTTAGAAATGTCTGGGATGATATTCAGCCCAATTTTGGTGACTTTGGCAATGAACAAAACCAGCAGTATTCCCAGTGCTTCAAATACGTGTTTTTGTTTTCTTTTAACCACTTAAATACAGACTTCGTTCATCTCCACAAAATCCTTTCTGTAGAATACTTCTGTCTTTCCAAAAATTGAAACATATCTGGCTTTAAAATGATCACGTAGAGCAGGAGAGTGGATAACCGGAGAGTGGAGAGCTGAAATAAAGATATGATTGTCATTGTGTACCCTCCCAAGCAATAAACCATGTTGGGGATTAAACTCTGAGTTCAGGGCAATTAGTCATATAAAATCCTGCTTTGCTGTCCTTACCTAGCTGAAATTTAATTTCTTGTTTGTATATATTGTTAATAGGTGGTCAGGCTTACTGAGCAGAAAAAGAAAACAATCTTTTTTTTTTTAGATACAGCTCAAATGAATTGGAAAAAAAAAAAAAAAAAGGTCTGATGACAGTTAATGTTTTTTTAAATATAAGAATATATCACTTAATAGATAGGACTATCCTGAAATCCTAGACTGAAGTGATGGACATGAGAAGAAAAATGCTTTTGATTTTGTTTGTAGTAAATAGATAGCGGCTGGCAGTAAAACTCATGCGCTTGCAGTAAAACTCATAAGGAAGATTAGGTGAGACAGCAGTCCAGCTTGCAGCTTTGCCTACTGGTGGGCACAGCACTGTCTCAAATTCACTGCACTTACTGAAGAGTGTCTCTTACTGGAGAGTGACAGTGGGAATTAGTGAAGCAGATCGAAAGAATCATTGCTCTAAACCATTGAGTTTTTTTCAGCTTTAGTGATAACTTTCCATTAAAGTTTAAAGAATTTTTATTTTTGATTAAATTTTCTCAAAATGCTCGAAAGACTCATGCACTTTTGTAGGATTTTTTTTTTGAATTCCTGTATTATTATTCTTTTAATTTCAGGAACGATTTCTAATCCAGGCCCAAGAAAATCTCTTCCCAAGCTACTCTATACACGCCTACTTCTCTACTTGCCTGAATTCATCTGGGCTGTTGTAGGAGCTGTATGGGTGTCAGACAGCAGTGTGCACTGCGAGAAGACTGTGATGAGTGTCATATTTGGGACAGTCGTTGCAAGGTAACAGTGGTATGCAGTTTTTTTTAATGTATTCGTTTATGACTTTCTTGGCAGTTAAGGACTTTGATATTTCTTTTAAATTATTTTGACTTTTCATAGAAAGGCTTTATAGTAAATGGAGAAAAAATCTATACAACTAGAATAAATTGATATCCTTCCCTAAACAGGTTTGAGCTTCCTGACTTACAGACTACATGCATAATAGGGTGAAAGATAAGAAGATGAGGAAAAGAAAGGATAAGAAAAATAGATTGGAATGTGGAAGTGTACCAAATGGGAAGAGTGACTAGATCACTGGAAAATTTAGCTGATATTTTCAAGGTGCAAGGCTATGATTTTGAGTTTAGTGCCCCATGTGGAGTGAGCTAACAGTGTTGTTGTTATGCCCTTTACAGAGTTTCACACCTAAGTCTGTTTGCTGTCTCTCGAGATCAATAATTGCATTGCCCTGCCTGTTTCAGAAGTATCTGCTTTTGTAGCCTTTTCCTCCCACTTCCTTCTGTTTTGCAGCTGGATTATCATTGTCTTTACCATCATCGGAGTTATAATCGTCTTTGATCCACTTGGAGGAAAAAAGACAGTTTACCTCACTGATGGTGTCTGTCGGAACCTGGAAAGCAGTCAATCAGGGCAGTTGCTGTACAATGTGAAGAGCACTGCTACCAGAGTCTGGGAAAAAAGAATCAGGTTATTGTGTTGTTGCATTGTGCAAGATGATGACCATCGAGTGGCTTTTACAAGTATTGCAGAGCTTTTCCGTGCCTACTTTTCAGTAAGTTAGAAAGCTTTTTTTATATGTTCTTTTCTGCTTTTGGCTAACACTGAATTTTCAAATGCTGAAACACATGCACATATGTGTTTGTTCAGCAAACGTTCACTATTACCTTCTGCTTTAATACTGGGATTCGAACAAGCCAATTTCAAAATTAAAGGTGGTTCTCTTATAACACCCTAATTTTTCCTTCCCTTTTAAAAATTTTCTCTCCCTTCACAAGCATGAAGGGCCATGAGAAAACAGCATTGCTTCTTAGGGGATTGTCAGGAAATGAGGGTAAGGTTTTTTTTTTTTTTTCCTCAATATGTGAAGACACAGAAGCTTTTCCTACTGACTTTGAGTAGAGATTTGTACCAGTAGCAAAGAATCTGGTGGGTTTCTAGCTTTTGGAAAAACAAAACAAAATAGCAGTAAAATGTTAAGGCAGTTTTCTGGTTCTGATCAAGTACCAGACTCCTGTGTGAACATGTAGGAAATTGCTTTAAGGAAACTCTAGAAAACCTGTACCTAATTGAAGACTGAGTGATGTTGGTTTAACTTAAATCTGTCAACTACTGCTTGGGCAACCAAAGTTCTGTGTTGACACTGAGATCTGTTCATGGCTTCCAAACTGGAAGTTCTTGTTTATTAAACGGTGTGTGTGCGTGCTAATTTACAGCTTCTGCCTACTCAATGGTTTGTAGGATAAAGGGAGTCAGTCTTATGGGGAGATGGTTGACCCAGATAGTTGAATAAAAGCCCTTCAGCCCTCTTCTGTGTGAAATCCTTTTAATAGTTCTCTATATTTAAGGAATAATAATAAGCTATGTTTATATAGAGGATTTAAGAGCGTTTAACCTGGAGGTGTAAAACATTTGTAAGTTGTGTCTGGATCATTATTTGCTATATGACTGGGCAGGCTCATTGAAGGATTTTTTTGGCCTGTGTGATGAAATTCCTGTGTAGAGTTGTCATCAGTCTTATTTGCAGAGAGCATTCTGTGGGTACAAAGGGGTGATTTAGACAGTGATGTTACTTGTTTCTCTAACACACATTGTCTTCTGAGTGACATATATTTATATAAACTGAAAAAAAACCAATCTTTCTAGAATTCCTTGTGCATTTTCTTATGAGATGATCTTGCTGTGTTGTCTTTTTTTTAAGCACTCTCTCATTTCTTTTTATAGGACACTGACCTGGTGCCAAGTGATATAGCAGCAGGTTTGACTCTGCTCCATCAAGAGCAAGACAAAATGGAAAGTTGCCCTAAAGAACCTGAAGAAGTCCTGTGTCATTCTCCATCATCTCCTGTGGTAAGATAGGAGTGTTACAGCCTCTGGCACATCTCCTCTAGGAGAGGGTATTGGATCTAGTTGAAATGTAGTTCTTTGTACAAATGCTTTTTTTGACAAAATTAAACACTTATAAAAAATAACAATTTAAGTTATGAATAAATAAAGTAAAAACATGTTGATGAGCGTGCACACAATGCATATGTCTCCTTTTGCAGAAGTACAGTTTAAAGGGGGAATAATAGAAATTGATAATGAATCCAAATTGACACATGTTTTGAAGAGGTTAATAGCAGGATTTTTCAAGGATGCCTAATTTATGTTCTGACAATACTGATCTGCAAAAGAAATTTTAGGTCACTTAGCTCTTTGAAGATTCTCACTCTCAGTGAGTATTCATCTATGTATGAATGGGAAATCAAGTTCAAATAGGAACAATTTAGGTCTTTAGATCATTGTTGAAGAGATAGGAAAGAAGGGGAACAGAGAGAAAAATATATTTGGTCCTATTACAAATAACTGAAAAGCTAGTCTTTAGTATTCTGGTCTGTTTAATTTTTAATGTTTGCTGCAAATATCCAGACAAGATAATAAGCAAAAATAGCAGCTTTTAAGTGTTTGCAAATGAAGGGTTGCAGTTTGCTAATTGATCTTTGCTCATCTCCTGTGTTAGAATGTCTTTTGTAAGTTATTTTATCTTCTGTTGTTCTGTATTCCACAAAAGTATTTAATGCTACTTCAACCAGAGCATCCAGTAAACACACATTTTTATGGACTTCCTTTTACATTCCTGTTTTGATCAGCCATTCCTTTAAAATCCCTAAGTAATTTGTTTTTCAGTACTGATTGAATCGGTGCACAAATATCAGAAAAAATAATGTAATGAGAGCTTTTCAGGATTCTTGAATTCTGCTGATATGTAAATAAGCTTTTTTTTTTTTCCCTGGAATATGATGGGCTATTCTTAGTGCATCTTTAACCTTGAGGTTTTCCTCTTGGATAGCGTTTACTTCAACAAGCCTTAATTTCCAGCAATCTGCATTTGGATTTTATTGTGGGCCTACCTTACACATCTTTCTTCCTCTCTGTCCTTTCTCTTTCCCATGTCCTCTCAGACTGATGATTTGGATATTGAACTGGAGAACGCTGCTCACTACATGCACTTTGCTGCAGCTGCCTATGGCTGGCCCTACTACATCTACACCAACCCCTTCACTGCGCTCTGCAAGCTCAATGCTGACTGGTAGGTTGGATCATGAGCTTAAAAATGCAGCAGTTCCTTTTACTTTGCAAGTGTCAGTACAAGTAAATAGTTTCAATAACTATATTTTTGTTTTAATAAATTGTGTCACTCAGTATATGAGCAGCAGGTAGAGTTGTCTTCCACAGACACAGTAGAAACAAAATTTCACTGCCTCTCCCACGGATTAGCTTTTGTCTCTAAGAAAAGTTTGCAGATGAGGTAGAGAAGCCATTTGCACTTCACTCAGCCTGAACCAGTAAGATTCATTCAGTAAAGTGCTGAGAAGAATTTGAATGAAACCAAACAGTTTTAAAATGAGGCTTTTGGTGAAAACTATTGGCAGTTCTCTAGCTTAAAGGAACTGGGAAGAGTTTTGTGTTGCCCCAGCCTCCATTTTCTTCCCTTTTCCTCATCCAGCTCCCCCAACCTTTGGAGTCAACATTCTCTCAAAAGAATGTTTACAGTCTATATGGAAATACACATAATTCTGCCTAAGATTACCATGTATTTAGTGACCACCTAACTCTGTGACTGTAACCATGATTTTTTTTTCTAAATTGGTAACATGAAATTACTTAACCTACTCAAGAGTTAATGACTTGGAAAAGCTTAAATTTCACATAATGCAATAGATAAAACATTAAATAAGGCTGCCATACTGAATTTGTTTTTAATTTCTTTTGTACTTGTTTGTATTTTCTATGATTGGGCTCTAGTCCTAATATTTTTTTTGCTTTTTGCCTTGTTTGCCCTGTTGATAGTCCTGTAAAAGGTGTATTGGCTAGTCCCTGATCTGAAAATGTAGGGTGTATTCTTCAGACAAAATCAGCTTTGTGGGCAGAGGTGACATCTTGTATCACTACTAGTAAGTTTCCAAGAAATCAGATGAGCCTTTGATTCCTAGTTGAAATCCTTCTGCAAATGTAACTGAGTTTTATTCATGAAAGGAGACCTACAAAATTTGAACATGAAAGTTTTTCTCTTCTGTGTTTGTTAGTTGCGGAAATAGACCAACAGATTCTGATATAACTGGCAGTGATCGTCATAACTTTCACTTTGGATCCATCCTAAAAATAACAGGACTGCAGTACAGAGACTTCATTCATATCAGTTTTCATAACAAGGTAAACAATGTGGACAGGCACTCAACAAAAAAATCTTAGTGATTAATTCAGTGAGAGCAAGGGGTGAAGTTTCTAGTTTGCATCCACTGTTTATAAGTGAAAGATGCAAAAGAAAGCAAAACCAAAAAAAAAAAAAGAAAACAGCCCCCCAAACATCCATTCTTCAGTTCTGATATTTTTTCAGTCTAAAGAAACAGTCACAAACCCATTGACAAGAGATCTGTCTCAGTATTGCAATGAGAGCACTTAACAACAAGCTGAGAAAATAAGCCAGATTCTTTCCATTATACAATAAGTAGAGCTCCGTAAGACAACTTTCAATGGTCAGAACAAATGTAAAAACCCAGTGTCTTTACTGAATGCTTTTTTTCCCTCCAGATCTATGAGATTCCATTTTTTGTTGCTTTGGATCACAAAAAAGAAGCAATTGTGGTTGCAGTGAGAGGAACTTTGTCTTTCGAGGTATCATCCACCTGATGTGTAACTGGCTCTATAGAAATGGGTAAACTCCTAGTATCCAGAGGAAACTGTTTTATTGAAAAACAACAGATTCTTGGGTGGGAGTCCTCCAGGCCCCTGTGTCCTTGGATGGATATTATTCCCTGTGCCATGGGAAGAGACTGGTGAAGGGAGGGCAGTGATTGATTTCTGCTTTGCTGTGAGGGGGGTGCATTTATCATGTGTGTTTGCAGCTTGGCAAGAGCTGCTGAAATCAGACTCATTTGCTGTATTATAGTGGCTTCAGTGGTGTATTACAGTAGGCCATATTTTGTTGCTTGAAAACTTGAAACTCCAAGTGATGCTGTCTATATGACAGTGTTAAGTATAGTGGGACCCATGAGCACCTGCTGAGAGGTCTGGTCAAAAATCTGTCTTGTTTACAGGACATTCTCACCGATCTGTCAGCAGACTGTGAAGACTTGACACTGGAGGATGTTCTGGAAAATGGCTTTGTGCATAAGGTGCGTGCTGTCCCTAGCATCCAGAATCCATCCGTGCAGTAAGAAACCTGATTTAACTTTGAGGCTAAGAAGGAAGAGTATTTTTGCAAGATGAGTTGCACAAAATATTTCAGTCAGCTCGATATATCAAATACTAGCTCTGACACTGCAAAGTAGAAGATGTAGTCCTGCTGCCTGGCTCCATGTCCATATTAAATATTCCAAAGGATTTTTAGCAGTTAAGTACAAAATCCCTTGGTTTTACCTAGACCTCTGTTGGGAGAATGTTAAAGTAAAAGATCATTTCTGCAAAAAAGAAAAAAGTTGTTTTATAGTATCATTGTATTTAAAGTATACATGTGTCACTTCAGATCACACAGGATTCTGTTTTCTAACTTAAAATGTTGTCTCCTAGGGAATAACTCAAGCTGCAAATTACATCTATCAAAAGCTAATAAATGATGGAATTTTAAACCAGGCTTTCACAATTGCTCCAGTAAGCTACCTCCTAAATTATTTCTTTTGCTAGTACAATTATCCAAAGCTTTTCCAGTGTCTACGTTTCAGTCTTTTCTCTCTGTCTCCAGGAATACAAACTTGTGATAGTTGGTCACAGCTTAGGCTGTTATGCGTTTTCTCCTCCAGGAGGACTTTTAAGGTAAATATGATACTTCTGTTATTTGTTTCCATGTCTAAGATGCAAAAATCATGAAGATAGTTTGTTGACAAACACATCAGATGGTAACTGTGCAGTAATCACACTGATTAGATTGGCAGTTGTTTTGATGTAAGCCTGTTCAGTTATTTGCTTTTTTTTTTGGCGTGGCGCGCACACACGGACACACACGCACACACAAAATGTTGTGCTTTATGTTAACTCTAAAGTTTGGCTTTTTAGCGAACTTGAATGTTTTCAGACTGTGTTTATAAGTTCTCCACCAAAACTGGATTTGCTCCAGCTTGAGTTACAATCAAATTCCACAGGAAATATTAAAGAATGGAATATTGTAGTGAGTTCTGCTAGATAATATAATCAGAGTTTCAAATAAACGTTTCAGAAACCAAATGCTCATATGACTAAGCTACCTCGGCCTATTTGACATCTGCATATATGAGAGACCATTATAATCAGCACTGAAATTGCTGTCCTCTGTAGCAAGTTGCCCTGAAAGCCTGCAAAAGAACTGAAAACATTTTTTTATGATCATCATCATTTTATAAAAATATAGGTTAAGATATGTGTATATTTTTAGTCTGTATAAAATATGTCTTTTTTTTAAGCAAATCACTTGCAGATTACACTAAGCACTTCATTGTGTCAGTCATTGTTGGAAAGGACCTTGTTGCAAGGTAAGATAGAAGTATTTTTAGATTGTTCTTTCAGAGATAAGTTAAATAGATGGCAGCTTTAAGAGGCTTTACTTTGTTTTATGTGTGTTTGAACAGGTTAAGTATGCCCAACATGGAAGACTTAAAGAGGAGAATAGTGAGAATTGTGGCAAACTGTAACAGGCCCAAGGTAACTATTTGCAAGGGTTAACAGTGGAATTGTCAGCTGGGTTAAGCCCAGGTTTAGTGATGTGGCAATTGGCGTGTGTATTTTTGCTCTCAATGAATGGAATTGTAGAAGTGTGTTTAATTCAGTGACAGTGGTGTTAGTCTTCTAGAAGGCTGCCGTGCTGGCAGTGAAGATTTTGCAAGACTGGGAGATATTAGTGCACAACATTGAAGAATTGAAATGATCTGTTTGCTAGTTCTGCTCTTAAAGGAAACTATTCAAAAATAAATAAAATAAAACAGTTCAAATGATGAAAAATCAATAGGATTACTTCTTTCATTAATAATCATTTAGTATCAATAAGCTAATAGTGGTTTTATTTAAATTTAACCTTTAGTATTCATTTGAAAAACAAATGTTTCTCAGTTCTGGTGTTGAATTGCCTGCCTCTTGTTTTTGCCATTCTAGAGCAGTGTGTTGTCAAGCAAGATGTTGCTGGAGTTACAGTTACACTCGGTTTAAAGATTTAAGCTGTTGTCTCTGAATATTGAAACCCAATCTGCTGTACCAAGATTTCTGTGTAGTCTGGGGATCAGCAGCCTATAGAGGGCACTGGTGACCCTGTAAAATAGAATGAGGTGATTGACAGTTAGAAGTTACAGACACAGAAAACCTTGAATCTGGGCAGCAGAACCTGCACGCCATGATTTAGCTGCTCAAGATGGCCATGTTTTCCTTAGCCTAACTGGTGGGTTGGGTTACTTGTTGGTGAGATATGTGTTGCTGTGCGGAAAGGTGAAATGGGGAGTATGTGCACAGTCATCTTTAGTCTTTAACTGTACCCTCAGATGGTGTGAATGCAGGCACACAATTAGAATAAATGGAGTTGAAGAGATCCAAACTTTAATTTGCCTGTTTTTCTTCCTGAATTCAGTACCAGATTCTGTTGCGTGGGTGTTGGTACGAGGTGTTTGGAGGAGATCCAGATAATTTCCCAACTGAACTGGATGGTAGAAACCAAGACCTAACCCAGCCTCTTCTAGCTGAGGAGAGTTTAATGGTTCATCGGTCATCTTCATACAGTGCCCTTGAGGATGAATCACACTTAAATTCTCCACCTCAGTATCCTCGTCTGTATCTTCCTGGAAAGATTATCCATATTGTAGAAGAATCCAGCTCTAAGAGGTATGAGGGAATAACAAACAACATCATTGTCTTGTTTTCCTAAAATCTACCTCAGCTCGCTTCTCACTTTTGAAAGTGCATGTTTCCATTTCTGCCTGTCAGCTGTGTCTCTTACACCCACGTTTTGGTTCTTGCATGGCAAGCAGCTTTTCTCTGGCCTCCCTGCTGCTTTATGCTCAAGTCAGTGAAATTTGCGTGTGTGAGCTCAGCATGCTGCTCCGTGTGTGAGCGCAGCACGGTGTGTGAACTCGGCGTGCTGCTGTGTGTGTGTGTGTGTGCTCTGTGTGTGTGTGAGAGCTCAGCGTGCTGCTGTGTGTGAGAGCTCTGTGTGTGTGTTATTTCTTTCTTACAGTGTAACACAGGTTTTTAATCTCTCCTCCCTTCGTGTTCTGGAACGCTAACAGCATCTTTTCTGCAGCATTAAAAGCTAATGATGTTTCTTCCGGATGGGAAAAGGTTTTAATTTCTTCCCCACTAACACAGACTCCGCGGTTGTAGCGACCCACAGGAAAAAACACCCTCAGCTTGACACAGAGCAGCAGTTGAGACATGCTCTAAGCTTTCATTTTTTTTTTTTTTTCTTGTTCTTTTCAGGTTGTGCTCTTCAGATATTAAATACACTGCAAGTTGGTCAAAAGAAACAGTCTTCAGCAGCATTTTAATAAGCCCCAAGATGATAACAGACCACATGCCCGATGTTGTGCTCAAAGCGCTGAACAGTTTGGCTCAGGAACATGGTGCTTGTCTTTCTTGTCAAACACGAGACTTTAACACCAACATAGAATAACCATAATGCAAGAAAGAGGAGCTGCAATGTGTGGGGGTGTTTTTTTTTTTTTTTTTCTTTTTTTTTAATAATTATTTTAATGCAGGTTTCAGGACTTGTATTCCACACTGTGGGTAAGTGGATTTCAGTACTTCTTTTTCATACTGCCCAGAGCCGAGGGCAACGCTCCGATGGCTGGAGCGGCTGTTCCGCGTTGGTGCAGAAGCTGGAGGCACCGCACACGGGGGCAAGACCAGCGCCGCTGCGGACATGAGCGTCGCAGAGCACCCGGGAGGCTCCCTTGGCCCCTGCGTTGGGCAGCACTGTAAGAGGAGGGTGTGTTTTTTTTTTTTTTAAATCTTCCCAGTTTGCTTCGAGTAACGTCACGTCCCTGTGGCTCAGCAGCCCCTTCTGTAGGTGTGCAAAGCCCAGCCTGCTTTGCACGAGGTGCTGGAGTGAAGGCAGCAGCGCAGGGCGGGCACCAAGGCCTGCGGCAGCCCAGCCGGGGGTGGCAAAGGCACCGCGGTCCCGCTGCCCCCTGCCCAGGCACTGCCCATTGCACTGGTTTTCTTAGGGCTCTTGGTAGCAACCCTAGGGCGCTGCCTGGTGGGGGCAGCAGGGAGTGTTTCAGTGCTGCTTGCATGCACATGTGCAATATTCTTTATCTACCTGGCATTTGTACTGGTTGACCCATTGGACTGCTATTATTATTTTTAAACTAAACTCTTAACTACTTAGCATAGTTAAGGAGATGATCTTTTTTTTTTCCATGCCCTGTGCACATTGTTTCTCAGCATTAGTTCTAGCTGTGACCAATGAAAGCACCAATTTGTAATTCTGCCAAAAATAAAATCATGTGTATGGTTGTAGTTGCTTGCTTCTAGCATATGACTTCTGAACAAAAAATAATTTTAAAATCTCAAACTCCTTTCATATAAAAAATTAAAAATAATAAATGTGAGTGAAAGTAACTGAAAACGTTCATGCTGTGCTACAAAATAAAGTGCAGTCTTCACAACTTGTCTTACTGTGAGAGAAAAGGTGGCAGGTTGGAGTTGTGCAGCAGTGGAGTGAGTCAGGGCCACCACCCCAGAGGCAGCGGAGTTTTGATGTATGTGTCCATATAAACATATATATATAGCACCAATATTTTCACCATAGCTTTAAAATACTTAATTGTGAGGTAGTTTAAGTACAAACTACCCCACCACGGCACACCCACTTCACAACCCTTTAAACGACGCTATCGCGCTGCTGTTTGCACACACAGCAACGCGGCGCCGCGCTCTGCGCTGCCCGCGTGGGACAGCAGCGGCAGCCCCGTAGCAGCGCGGCCGGCGGCACGGAGCAGACGACACCAAACGCCACCGCCCTCGGCAGCGCCACGGAGCGAGACGGGCGCGCGGGCTCACAAACTCAAACACTACCACGCATTGATTCAAGGATTTATTAAGTCTTACATGCAAAACATACTGCTAATTGCATTAGCAAAAGATCAATGTAAAAACTTCACAATTTTGCAACTTTTAAGTTTTGCTTTAGTGGTTGAAAGGGTGTAGTTCAACATTGTATTCCTGCCAGTGTTTAGGATGTACAGAACATTAGCACTAGTTTACAGAACCTCACAGACCCAGGTTACCAGTACTCAGTCTAGGATGCACATGGAGGTGACAAAGACACTTGTCTGCATTAGTAATGTCAGTGGGGGGGATATCTGGCAAATAGTGATAATCGAGACGGTTCATAGTTTATAGAGGCCTAAAATATAAAGATACCTAAAACTTGTAAAGCTGCTTCACATGATTTTTACACCTAGTTAGTAGACTAAAAGCTCCTCAGAAAGCGTTTAACTTACTGGGCCAGAAATAACACGAAATAAGGATATGCTTGAACATTCTAATCTACAAAAAAGCAAAATTCTATCATGAGAAATGGTTTAAAATACAAGTTATATTGCTTAGTAAGAAGAAATTCTACAAGAAAAGCAATTACTAGGCAACGGTTGTGGGAATGTCTGGTTCAAAATTGTAACTAAATGAATGCCCTACTTGAAACTCGAAGGAATTTACTTATGAACATCAACCTCTTTTCCACTACTGCAGGTCTGGGAAAGCCTTCTCCAATTTTTATCCTGTAAGAAATGTCAATTCAGTTTGAACTACTTTGACGGTGTAGTGTAAAACTGATCTGTGCAGTGTCAAAAATACTGCCTGGCACTATCATCTGATGCAACCCAATGTTTCACTTGCACAATACAATGCTGTCAAAAGGAGCAGATACACTTCAGTAAGAATAGTTATTTATTTATTTTTAAATCACAGCAACAATAACTAGATTGCAACCAAGCCTTACCAATGATAAAGCATTTTACACTGTGACTCAAGGTTGTCAGTCATTGTCAATGATTTAGGTTCCATATACAACGCTAGGCAATGACTGCAGGCCGAGAAAACATCTGATAAAACACATTAGACTGCAGTGTTTTGCTAATTATACTGTACTGTTACTTACTGTGAAAAACTAGAAAGTGTTTTTGCATTTCCTAACACAAATTAGAGTCATCTTCAAGAAGAATCTTTAAAAAACAGTTTAGTGCTTAGTGTTCGTAGCACAACAATGCAACTTAGTTCAGCAGATAGTTTGGCAACACTTAATTAATTGAGCAAGAATAGGACTTTAAAAATAAGGCTTTACATAGGTTTGTCTTTTTAGGATTCTGCTTTTAGTAGAATGAAAAGTAACTTTCATACTTTAAACAAATGAAACCATGAAATTGTTGATTGGTTCAAAAAAATTTATGGAAGAGAACTAATTTATAACAGAAAAACTTGGCATTGGATGTGAGTGCTCCCTTGTTCGAGCAGAGCACAGGGTTCGCGGGGGGCATTACAGCAGCAGGCATTTTCTCTTCCTCTTCTTTACAGGAGGGGGGCACAGAACTGCTCGAATGGCTTCGTCAAACACTGTCTTGAGGCCTCGCTGCGTAAGTGCTGAGCATTCGAGGTATTTCACTGCACCTGGGGAGAGCAAAAGAGCCTGCAATGACACAGCTGTTTCCTGCAGTTAGAGAGCAGCACTTCTAGCCAACTCCCGAGCAAAAACCAGGCATCTGTTGTAATTAAGGTGCAACATCTTCCACAGATGCAATTTAGATCAAGCCAACAGCAACGCGGTTCCAGCCATACCAATCTCTTTCGCCATGGCGAGGCCTTGGGGGTAGGTGATGGGAGTCAGCTTCTTCTCCTTCAGTTTTTCAATCGTGTCTTTATCATCTCGGAGATCGAGCTTGGTGCCCACGAGGATGATGGGGGTGTTGGGGCAGTGGTGCCGCACCTCGGGATACCACTGCGGGAGAGAAGGCGCTGAGCGGCGCCACGCACCCACCCCGCACAGCGGCAGCGCGGGCCCTGCCGGGGCTGCGCTCAGCAAGGGCACAGAGCTGCACTGCGGGTTGGGAGGCATCGATATTTCCGCCTGCTACACGAGTTCACCTTATCAAAGGCTGCGCTTGTTTTGAAACCTGAATACCCCTGACCTGCTCCCCTCTTCGGTGCTGGAAGTCTCCAGCGCCCTGGGGTGCCCATGGGCACCAGAGGGCAACAGCAGCAGCCAGGTACCCAAATGCTGCTGAGTCCAGACACTGGGGGCCTCAGCATGAGCCTTACGTGTAATTTACAGAAGAGCACTGAGAAAAGTTACAAGATTTCCTGATTGTGGCCATAAGAGCCAATGATTTTTAATTGCGTTTGTCCTATCATTGAATCAAGGAGCGATTTGTACTTCCAGGTGCTGTAGGTTCCCTGAACTTTCAGAAATTTCTAGACTTAAATTTTGGCAGATGACTTTCTACCTTCTTAGACCACAATTCCCACTGCCAGAAATCACCCAGATTTTCCTGAAGTCACTGTAAAATAAGCACTTCAAAATAAAAGGATGCTACTTACCTTAGCACGGACATTTTCAAAGGAGGCAGGACTCACGAGGGAAAAGCAGATTAGGAACACGTCCTGCAAAACAAGGGTTGGGAGTCAGCGCCCCCGCGGGAAATCCCTTCCAAGCAGCTACAAGCAAAGGCGGGAAGAGAGGGGGAGTAGGTCACAATCACGTTCATAATCAGCTATTGCAGGGACCACCAAATAAACACTAGTGTAGTTGTACTGGTTGCTTTCTTCCCCTGAATGTTTGTGTGTATATATACACACACTTTTTTTTTTTTTTAAATGTCCAATGAATTTAAAAAAAAAATCCCTCCAAACATGAAAATAACCCCGTTCCTGTTCTCGCAAAGACTCCAGGCAATGGTGAGTCAGCAGACCAGCTGCCGAACCAGGCGTGCATGTTCTTTGCAGACCTCCGAGTGACTGAAGTCTTCAAACACGTAACATTAGCAAAGGAGAATACAAAGTGTAACCGCTACACCAGCTTCTGAAATAAGATTATGCTATTCCTAAAGTCACCTTAAATTGCAAAGGAAGAGTATGCAGTACAGAAAAAGACAACAAATTACTACGTAAAATGTTCTTCCTTTTCAGCAATACTTCTGTGTTACTTCCTGCAAGCCAATTTCCACTCATTAATTTTACTGCTACTGAATGTCTGTTTAAAGAGACTTCAGAATTTCTCTATAACCAAATTAGGACTGAGAACAGTATTAAAAACTTCAAGCATCTCCCTGGGTCCCTCCCTCCCTAAATTACAGGAGGCTACAAAGAGAAGAGGATCTCGAAGCGCTGGGGCTGGCGGGGACCCCCCGGCCCTGCTCAGATGGGGCCGCCTGGACGGGGCTGCCCTGGTCCGCGGCCGCCTCCCCGCGCGGGGCAGCCTGCCCAGGGCGCAGCCACCAGCAGCCAAACGCGTCGGCATCCAGCTCCCTGCGTCAAAAGGGCAGACACCGTTAGGGATCTGGTACCTCTTGCCTTCCAATCGAAAGGGAAAGGAAGATTATAAATGAGAGATGAGGCAAAATCACTTTTGTTTACAGTAACTGCTGTGAAAACGCATTTCAGAAAACGTTTCGTATT